CTGGAATTCCTAAAGAATCAATATTTCACACACATAACAAAAAACAATCATTAAAAACATTACAATAAATTCCTATAATAGGTTTGAATATTGGATGGCCAGTCCAAATCCCACACCGAGTAGTCTTTAGTTGCTCTGGTCATGACATGTCAACATTGTATGAAAACGCTAGGAGTTGGCCTTTCATAAGAGCAATTCACACAGGAAGGATACCCCAGTGGATACAAAAAAGAAGGGCACAACGGGAACACGCCGTACGCTTTTAGCAGATCCCTGCGCAAGTGAGGCCGGGACTTGCCTGCGCCCTCATGTACGACTAAGCGGGACCCCAACTCTTTCATTCACACATCTCTAGGGCCAGTCCAACCCACTAGTCTTAAAATGCCGGGTTATAAATTACCGAACTCCAGGCTCTCTACCATGAGTACTGACAATAACCGATCAAAAGACAAATCATGACATAACATAAATAACAGAGCAACCATCGGCAAACTCGCACGCATACATAATCATAAACAAAATATACAGAATTTATGTAGGTGTTGACAGTTGACATATTTGCATTGGCATAACAAAGACTGACACATATAACTCTCGCCAGGAAAGATTGCCGGTCACAGAACACTTGATCCCGATCTACAATCTCTGTTTTTCGTAAGGTGCTAGCGACTTCCGGGATAGTATCGTGTCAATGTTGAACGAAAAGACTTTTTGTTCAACATTAGCACGATCCTATTCCAGAAGTCGCTCACATCTTAATAAAAACAAAGATTGTAAATCGACAGAAGGTGTGCTGTGCCCGGCAATCTTTCCTGGCGAGAGTTATAACCAATATTCCGTCATTACATGTCAAGGATCGACTAAACGAATTGATTAGTAATATCGACAAGATGGCTCTTTTCAAAGATACAAAAAAACAGTACATAAAACATATATCTCTGCGTATGTCAGTTCTGAACTTTAGCCAGCCTCTGCTACGTCAATTCGAGATTAAATATCGATATCAAATATAGCACAGTACAATATTCGAAACAAGTCACCCTGTTCAATATTAATAATCATAATCACTCAGTTGAAATAAATAGTAGGAGCATAACGTTAAGTATCACATTACAACAAAACAAAGCACGTCGTGGTAAAACCTTGGTATAAACTAATTAATTCTGAATGCCCAGTGTAATACGCAACAGTGTACGCCCGCAGATGAAGCACTCTGTAAATAAACAGTAACATATTCATGCGAAAAAAGAAGATCTGCTGCAAAAAATTCAATTATACATTAAAATGTAGTATCGACGTTTTCAAATACAGCACCATCCACGAATCGCCAATTTTTATTATATCGTTTAATTATGCATACTCGTATTGAATATCATCCCTAAGGGAACATATTGAATCTAAATATAAATAAAAACACGTAAATATAAATAAAGCACTAGTTCATATTGCGGGTTGGCAAGCAAAACAAGCGTTAGGGGCAAAGGGATCATGTAAATTGAAAACTAACATATTTACGTAGAAAATAACATGGAACCTTGCAGTTGATTTAAAGTATGACTAGTATAAATTATTATAAAAAAGCAATTTGTATTTGTAATGCGCTATAAATGACAATGGACATGCTATACTGGAATGCCGGTAAATTGGCAAGTAATCTAACACGATTAAATCATTACTAGATGGATGCAATAGACGTAGAGATAAAAAGGAATACGTTATCTTTGTGATTGCAATCGAAACAGTCACAGTAACTATTCGAAAAACCAAATTAAGACTACATTTCACTAAAGCACCTTTACATCTGCCCTCAAAAAAAGCACAAATACCTCTCCCTCTATTTCCCCTTTTTAAGCAAATCCTAGACGAAAATTGTTAATATCGACGACTAGGTCGATGTAGATCATTACTTTCCTTGTTTCGCTGTATGTTTGACACTTTTATTGTAAATTATGGCCCATTTGAATGCAGGGCAGAGAAGGAAAAAACACATGTTCCACGGAAACGAAATAAAGAGCAATCTTGACTTCTTTCGTCGCGCCAGGGGCGGGTTCGGGAATATTTAAATCGAGTTTTAGCGGGCAAATTCCGTTCCATTACAGTATAGTGCTAGTCTTGTATTAAATTGTGCTGATCTGGAAAATCAGTGGTAGGTACCGTAAGACTATTTGAACGGCACAATCCAATATGTATCGAGCATAATTGATTGCCATTATTGCTTCTTCCATATCTGTGGGAGCTAGGAGTTGAGTTCGCCCCCGAGATTTGAGTGCAGAAAGCAAAAACTATCGCGTACCGTTTGAGTATTTTCGAATATTTTTCCAGCACAATCCAACAATCATAAGTGAACACAACTCGTTAACATAGTGGAATTTGTACCTTTAAAAAAATTGGGGACTGAGATTCAAATTTGACGGCCCCCCGTTTCAATTCAAGAAAAACTGATTTCCCAGATCAGCACAAATTAAAATTGTACCAGCACAGGACTAGCACTATTTAAAAATGTTCATTATACATGTTTTTTTAATTGAGTGAACTAACTTGATGAAGCTCAATATTGTTGCTCCCTTGATATAGGTATTTTACTCTAAACGTAAACACTACATCGATAAGTGTGGTAAAATTACGAACGGTATAGGGGACATGCTTACCAGTTAAAACTAGTTAAAAAACTACAGCTAGGTACAGGGTGTCCCAATTTTAAGTACCTCCGTAATTGTTATCAAAAAAGAATATACTCAAACATGAAACGGGTAGAATAAAAATTTGAAAATATCCACTCCCTTGTAATTGGCACACTACGCTACAGCCCCTACTATACTCAGCATTGTTTCTCTTTTTTGGAAAAAATTCTGAATTCTTCTAATTCGAGAACTTTCCCAAAATGTCATCGTTTATTAAAATCTAGAGATATGTCTGTCGCTTTTGGTCGAAACACTTTATGCCGAACTGGCTTTCGGTTCGCTCGGCATGACTACACAAAGCACCTTGTCTTTGTAGCCCTGATGTCCTTGACTTTCTCGAATTTAGTACACTACGCTCGCCGAAAATTGCCGAGCGAGCCGAAGGTGAGTTCGGCACACCCCTGCCCAGCATTGTCTACCTTTTTTTTTTTGAAAAGAAAATTTCATATTTTATTAAATCTATCGCGTTTTGGTACTTTACACAATACACCTCGTCCTTACAGGTCCAATGGCCTGGGAATTCGGGAACTTTTCCGAAATTCCGTTTTCAAAAGAGGTATATGGGGTCAGGTAAAAAAATTATCGGACCTAATCATTTTTTAATGGAACACCCTGTATATTTTAACCTAAAAATTGTTTTTGTTAAATTGTTTTTTTTTAATATAACACACTAGGGATAAGAATAAATTAAAAAATTTGAAAAAATTGTATAAAATTTAAAAAAAGGTAAAATATATTTTATTGTGTTATATTTTTGAAAAGAGAATGAAATATGCTATCTTTCTAGATTAACATTTACAGTGTTCCATTTAAAAGAATCAAATTAGGCCCGATACTTTTTTTACCTGACCCCTGAGAACGACAGATTATTCCACAATCAAACTGTTCTGATAATTTTTCTGTATCTCTTTTCAAGAAAATATAGGGCCATTCAGAAGTTGACAATTTTGTCACATTCCCCCATATCTAGGCGAGCGAATATACAGCTTGTTTTACGCTAACAGTTACCTAAAAGTATTTAGACTCCCATTAATAATTTAAATCTGGAAATTTGCATACTAACATAGTTTTTTATGATCTATCGAAGGGAATTACTATCATGATCATTTAACTTCCGGTTTTACCGGATGTGGATAGCAAATTTCTTATTTTACATAAGAACACCCTGTATTTTATTGCATTCGAAATCTACAGGATAATCTACGTCGTTTAATACTACATTTCTCTATATATCCAACATCAAAGATTTTCAAGTTATTCAAGATTTGTCAAAATTTTTGACGTTTCGCCGCTTTTCTTTAGCACCTTATACGTATGGCTCCGTTGATTTGAATTTCAAAAAGTCTTAGAAAATCAACAATACTGACATGATGCTATATGCGAATGATTTAAATTTTGATCGCCCTTGTACAGGGTGTTTTAAAAAAAGTTGATTTTTTTTTAATGAAACCTGGTTTATTTTTTTGCACTTTCAAATGTGAAAAAATTCTACATCGATCAATTATTACATTCCCTATATGTGGTTTCAACTTGACGGAGCGCCACCTCATTCTACCTCTTCTAGATCTCCCGATATGACGCCACTGTAGTTTTGAGAAAGAAAAGCAGTCAAACGTAAAAAATTTTGAAAAATCTTGAAGAACTTGAAAATCTTTGATGTTGGATATAGGGAAATGTAGTATCAAACAACGTAGATTTTCGAAAATGCAATAAAATATATACGAATTATTAAACCACAAAAAGGTACATTAGGTTTACAAAAATTCCATTCTTGTAGCAAAACAAGCAGCAAACGGGTTCTGCAACATACAGGGTGTCTCATTTTTATTTTTAAAAATCTCCGTCATTGTAAGTGCAATCGAAATAGTAGTTGTAAATATAATTAAACTCAGTGGGTACCTACATCACGAAGTAACTTAAATACGGTTTTTACAAAACTAAACAGATAGGACTCCTGCTGACTCGACGTTTACCGAATTTCGATCGCAACGTGACTCATTAGCAGTAGGTACAAGTAGGACCATTCGGTACCAACGAATATTAACGAAGATTTGTTTGTTTCAGGTACATCCACAGTAAGGAGAAGCCCTTCAAGTGCGCCGAATGTGGAAAGGGATTTTGCCAAAGTCGAACGCTAGCAGTTCACAAGATTCTCCACATGGAGGAATCGCCACACAAGTGTCCCGTCTGCAGTCGTTCGTTCAATCAGCGTTCGAACCTCAAGACTCACCTCTTAACCCACACTGACATCAAACCGTACAACTGTTCGGCGTGCGGAAAGGTGTTCAGAAGAAACTGTGATTTGCGTAGGCATAGTTTAACTCACAATTTGGGGACGGCCGGTAACGGATCGGTGATGGCGACGTCCCCGCTTTTAGGTAATCAAAACTTTAGTATCGATTCTCTTATAAGTACGACGTCGAAATAGTGAATGTAAATATGATACGTACGACCTGTATACGACGATATGTAAATTTTATGCTTATGCGTGTATAGATAAAATAAAAGAAAACTGAACAATCCATTTTCTTTCCAAAAACGAGCAAACAGGTGATAACAGGGTGTGCGGGTAATTTACATAATTTATACCCGATGTCCACTATAAATCCCCCACACGAGATCGTTACGACTCGGACAAGCAAAGTGTGTGAGCATGCCAGATATAAACTTGAACTTGTAATAGAAATGTAATTTATTAGATGTTTTTCCGTTCGTACGACCGGCGGAATTATTTATTAGACGTATAAAAGACGTTTCATTCAACTCGACACCTTCCGCCTTTGTGTCTGTTTATTTACTTGCCGAAGCGAAATGGGCAGAAAATCACGTGTGAGGTCCTTCTTAACAGGCTCACTTAACACCTCGTAAGTAGGGTATACCTACTACACCAGGTGTGAGCGAGTTATAATCTCGTACGCGTCGCTTATGTCACGCTCGAAAAACAATTGAAACCGCAACATGGCCGAATCGGATCATCCCACTGCGACCTGCAGCTTCTATTTGACACCTTTCTGTCAATAATGAAAAGAAGGGGGATCGAGGAGAGCCTGTGAGGTCCTAACTGTCAATATCGTTTACGCTTCAATTATGAAACTATGCGCGATTTCGAGGCATCTTTTTGATAGAGCCGCTATTAAAGGACTCCTTTATGTTCGGGTAACAATGATACTCTTGTAGTTTTACAATACCATAGCTCTGATATCAATAGCCGTAAAAGACGGGAAAAGAAAAAGGGTCCTCGCCAAATAATGGACGTCTCTTGTTATACGCACTTGGGTGCCAAATTCCCTTTTCATACTTTCACGCGTCGAGATATTTTTAACAATCGAAAACTGATTAATACCTTCGATTGTTATAATTTCGTGATTGCCAACTGTTCGATGATGATGATTAAGAGAGATGTCACGATTTTTTTTTGTGAGAGAGCGCGGCCGCATGCAAATCAAAGCGATGGGAGACAAAGAAATTCGGGTGTTATCTGAAAATCAAGACGCGATGGGTACAGGTTTGACCACTTAGAAACGTTGCGAAAATGAGGAATTTGGCAGGTAGGTAAGAAGTGTTTGGTTTTATTTGTTATTTAAACCAAAATCTCTCCTTAATGTTAATAAAAAATTACAAATCAATATTTTTTTGAATACTGTCTTTACGTTGGGCCAACTCTAGTTCATTGTTTTTTTGCAAAATTTTTATGTAGCGTGTGTCCCAGGGAGAACGCACCCTATGGGAAACAGAATGAATGTATTTTTTCGTTAAGGATCCACGAGGGCTTTGATATGTATTTGAAGTTGGCGTTCAACGTAAGTACGTTATTGCGCTTGCCTAATGCTAGAAAGAGATTGGAGTAGCAGGCTGAACCCTAATTTCAAAGGCCTCGTGGCTCCTTCGCGAAAAAATACATTGCACTGGATTGGATAAGTATAACAAAATGATAAAGCTAAGTACCGCGCGGGTAACCCAATAAGACTGTTCCTCGGCCATGTCTCGGGAACCGTTCGTCCTATGACTTACGGATAAAAAAATTATTGGGTAAATCGGTCATGAAGAATCGCTGGAAAATATTTTCAAGTTCTAAAAATGACCACCAGAGGGCGTAACTACCAAAGAGAACCAGTTTATCTAGGTATCATTTTCGAAAAAAAACTCAGTTATTTCAAAAACAAAGATGGTGTGGAGCGTTCAATTGTTTTTGCAATAACCTGCTTTAACTTCATAACGGTTTGACCGATTTTAACAAATTTGGTATCGTTGAAAAGAGCATTCCTTATTGGCAATAAGAATCAACCAAAATATAGTTAATTTAGTTGAATGATTTTCCGCCAGGGGGCTAGTTTTGACACCATGACCAAAAATCCTAAAAAAATCAAATGGAATGATATGACTTTTTCTTTATGAAAAAGTAGCCAAATAACATCCAAAGAGGCCAGTGAAACCGTTTTTCAAAATCTGGCTCCTAACCTTAAATATTGGGAAAATGAGATTAATACATCTTTGAACGCCAAGGATCGCAAATGAGATTAATTAAATAATTAATAAAAATGTAAATTGTATCTTAAATTTACTTTTGACGTATTTCCGGTATTTGTCAATGGCGCGAAAGTTTTCGTGGAAAGCACCCTGCGCTTTTAGATAGGCCTTGGAAAATTAAACAAATGAAACACGGTGCATTATAAAATAATAACAGCCGTAAATTATTCTGTTGTGTTTAAATTCCGAAAGTGCAGTTTTTTGAATTTGTAATCTTGCCGATTTAACCAAGAAGCATTTTATATGCTAGCGATATACCTATTTTTAGTGTTTTCAAAAGCCTATTCCCTTGGCCTCCAAGGCAAGTATTTAACACAAGAATCTTTAGATGTTACCTTTTGGAATGATTCTGTTCATAATTGCGCACATATTAATACTTAAATATTTCTAGGTCTACCGGGTTAACCTGCGTTGATTTTTATCTCTGGGGAAGGATTACCTAAGGATAGGTATAGTCTTTGCAACAAGGTCAACTTGTCGCGAGGATATGGTTGCAAGAAATAGGAATGCCATCTTGAACATCCCAAGAGCTGAAATTGAGACTGCTGTTATTTCAACTCATCTGCGTCTTCAGATGTGCATCCAAAACAACGGAGGCCATTTTGAACATCTGGGTTGCCGTTAGATCACTTTCTTTTTCCTTTCATGGTCTTTATTAAAAAACGGTTCTTCTTAGAGCCACAGACCATGTCATAAAAAGAATGCACTTAGTCCCTATGGAGCAACATAAATGTTTTGATGATGTACAGTGTGTAAAGCGATGGGGTATACAAGAGGGAATTTTTTTAAATATTGGTTTATGAAAAAAATTTATTCTTCATGATATTTTTTGCTTGCTTTGAAAGTACCAATAACGTTTCGATAATCTAAAATTTATTTATAATTTAATGTTTAATGATTTATATTTTTTAGACTAAATTTTTAAAGTCCAGTATGCAGATAATGTTCACCTGCAAAAGGGGGTGTAAAAAATTTTATTGTTTTAAATGGTCCATTTGATTCCAAATTGCATGATTGTATTTGAAGAGTGCACACAAATTTTTTCCCGGCACAACTTTTGGCATCCAAAAAACCTCAAAATGATTGGCATTTTTTGAGTTTTTCGCTTAAAACTCGAAAACGGTAAATATTTTATGAATAGCACTTCTATACTAAATTAAAGAAAACAAAATTCTGCGTCGATCAAAAAAAAACAAACAAAATCGATTCAATAGAAACATTTTTACAAGCGATCAAAAAACGCCCATTTTTTCCAACGTATTTCAAAAATTGGTCCAATTTTAAATTGTTGATACTTTTGAACTCTCTGATTGATGTTCTACAATCTTTAGGGAGGGGGGTAGTGGATTATATCGTTCCTTTAGGAGCCACAACGCATTAAAAAAAAGGGTTAACTCAGTTTTTTAGAGAAGTTTGAAAAATGGGTGTTTTTTGATCGCTTGTAAAAATTTTTCTATTGGGCCGATTTTGTTTGTTTTTTTTTATCGACGCAGAATTTTGTTTTCTTTGATTTACTAAAGAAGTGTTATTCGTAAAATATGGCCGTTTTCGAGTTTTAAGCGAAACACTGAAAAAATGCTGAACATTTTAAGGTTTTTTGGCTGCCAAAGGTGTGTACTATTCAAATACATGTTATTTGGGCCCAAATGGACCATTTAAAACGATAAACTCGTTTACATCACCTTTTGCAGGAATCGGCCCTTCTGACTGCTCCGCATACCGGACTATTACTAGTTTTAGTTTTAGTCTTGGCCATCAAATATCCATTAATCTCATTTTCCCGTAATTTGAGGTTAGGGACGGGATTTTGAAAAACGGTTTTCACTGGCCTGTGTTATTTGGCTACTTTTTGGTAAAGAAAAGTCATCATTCCAATTGATTTTTTTAATTTTTTTAGGATTTTAGGTCATGGTGTCAAAACTAGCCCCCTGGCGGAGAAGGATTCAACTAAATTAACTATATTTTGTTTAGTTTATTATGCGAAATTTAAAGAAAATGCAATTTTAAAATTTAAGATGGCAGTTACGCCCTCTGATGGTCATTTTTAGAACTTGAAAATATTTTCCAGCGATTCTTCAAGACCGCTTTACCCATTAATTTTTTTACCCCTAAGTCATACGACGAACGGTTTCCGAGATATGGCCGAGGAACGGTCTTATTGGGTCCCCGGAAACGACATGATATAAATATTCTAATTTTATACCCATTTAGCTATCGTGAAATTGGTCGTCAAAAATTGTCAGTTCAAGACTTAACGAATATCAGATTTGAACAGACGAAATGCCCTGATAGGCCTATAATTTTCGCTTATATCGGAAATGACTCAAAATAGATTGACTAAAAGTGAAATAAAAACACTAATAAACCACAATAATCCCTATATCAAATGCTCGAACGCGTTTCAACAGCAAAGCTGTCATCATCAGCGAACAACAGAATGATAAAATACAAATACTCCCCTATTTATACTAATGACAAGTAAAAGTGAAGGTTTTCGGGCTCTGATTGGCCTAGAGGGCCTCCTTCATCATCATTCATTAGCAAGCGTTTGTTTTTTACGAATTTCCAAACTTTCTTCACAATCTAAGTCACTTTAACTACTTGCTTAACCAGGCAGGCAGGCAGGGTGTTATGAAATTCGTGCCCACGGGCGTAATCTGAGACAAAACTAAATAGATAACAGTTTAGGGATCAGACAAATACTTTTCAAGATACGAGGTTGTAAAGAAAATGAGGAAGAAATGAAGAATAATTTTTATTTTAATTAATAACTAATAAACCCCTAAAGAGCATCCATTCTACGGGATTTGATCAATTTTCAATTGGCTTGTTACTTTTGGCATATACGTCAACTGTGCAAAGTTTAACCAAATCGGTCCAGAGGAGTCAAGAAAAATATATACGGACGAGAAAACGAGCTACGGATGACTGCCCAAGGGCTGCTGAAATGGAGCAAACTGATGATTATGGACTGGGAGGCTTAAATACAAGGTAT